TGCCTACTGCTTTTCTGGTTTTATTGCCTTACTCCGGATACCAGGTGGGTTTTGAAAAATTGTCTATGCTATAAATGTTTATTACTGTTATAATTGTTTACTTGTGGTATGATCAAAGTATGCATGTGGAACATGTAGCCTTCGATGTGAGTTGTATCGGCCGTCGAACGGTTATCCCCGTAGCTATAGAACGTACCCGATGGGTAGTCCCTTTATTATTGTTGGCAGTCAGGGCGTGAGCCTTGGCTGGTGATCCCCGTGTAAGGCCAAGGGCCATCGGGGTGTATTTACTCCTACTGGCCGAGCACTCGATGTGAGGCCAAGGGCCATTCGATATATAGTCGGCAGTAGTCTATTAATATAGGTGTGCACATGAGAGTGATTATTGATTATTGATTATTGATTATTGATGGGAGATTGGGATAGTTTAATGTTTGGTATACATGTTGAGACCATACCTTATTGATTATTGATTACTGTTCCCTTATTGTGAATAACATTTACTGCATAGTGGTGAGCACTACTTTTCCTCTTGTTCTCATCCCCACCTGCTCTTCATGGATGCAGGTTAGTATTGCGGGCACGACGGAGGGATGCGAGTGGTGGTCTTATCATTTATTATTGCTCCCGCTTGTTAAATTAATTACTGTTATTATTGAATATTGGATTATTGTAAAGGAGTGTACTCATTGGATGTGAAAATTTGAGAAATCCGTTTTGGGTATTGGATTGATGATTGATGATTGATTATTAGGATTTGAAACTATTATTGATTACTCAAATTTTGTTAAGTATTGATGTACGATTTGGAAATGAGTAGCGCCTCAAGAGATTTTAAAAATAAATTCGAAAAATTTATTCTGATTTTCGGCAAATAAAAGTGGGGCGTTACAGTTTGGTATCAGAGCCAGTCTGCGTTTCTGTAGACTGGTTAGGGTGATTATGTGCTTTGACCTTATGTTACGACCACTCACTCTCGTCGTGCCGCGCCAACTCAGGTATGAGTACCTAAATGATTATTGTGCATTGCTTGCTTATTGATATGATAAATCGGGGCTTAGGAATTTACCCACCAATGCATATGGATGAACTCTAGAGACCTTAGTCTCGTGCTAGAATTGTGGTGTATATATATATATATGTGTGTGCGTGTTTTAGTATTATGTCGTGTTAAGCTCAGGCTTTGACAGTTCATTTGCTAAAAGTGTTGCTTAGTGTTGTTCCACCTTAAAAGATTTTGAGAATCTTTTAAGAAGGGTAGCCGTGCCTGGTACAAGCACATCGTGGAGTGCAGAGCCACCTTCACTTTTGATATTCGTTCATTGAAATCTTTGGAAGCTCTAAGACTGTCGGCACAGCTAGCTACTTGATCCAGAGCTGACGTGACGGCCGACACTGTTAGTCGGAAGAGTCGAATGAGCTAAAGCGCTCATTAGTCGGTAGTGACAGCTGGGAATGGGATCGTTTCTGGCTGAGGAACCGATTCTCGTCTCTTTTGGAAAGTTTTCCCGACCTCTATCATTGGTTGTTCAGTGGATATGGTGTTGATTTAAGAAGGTGGTGGACTTAGAACTCGGTTTATGCCTTATAAAGTTTGACACCCTTAAAACC